TAATTTTGAGATCTGGAAACAGAAAATTTACCCTGACTCATTCTCAAATCCCTGTATTTTTATTCTTGTTCATTTCATTATCTTCTCATCATAAGCCATTCTCAGGACAGGGTTGTTAATTCTCATCAAGATTTTGTAATAAAACAAGGTAAAATAATGCCACTCAAAAACTGGTTTTCACAGTATATGTATGGATGTCAGTTATTGTTTTTCATTAAATTAACAAAAAACAACTCTTTTTTCCTGGGTATTTCTAATCTCTAGCACAATAACACAATACCACAATAGCTTTCATTGCTACCCTTGATCTCAAACAGTTGTTTTCAAAAGGATGTTCTGAAATTCTTTTTCACCTTTTTAATGTGATGTTTCTGAATTTTCAGTGTCTTTGGGGGCAGACATTGTTATTGTGCCCTGTTCCAAACTAAAGATGAGTAGATATTTGTTGATGCATAATTTCTACATTTCAAAATCTTTGGGGAAATATTCCCTATCAGCACATCATTATTTTTCTGATGTGGAATCCATTTTCAACACTATTTTTTTCAAAACTTCTATTCACAAATTAACTATGGCCCTTTTCTCTCATGACATGTAATGTGCAAACATTTTCTGTTTGTTTCACATAGAAGGTAAACCTCTATTGATGATTTAGTCCAGGCCAAAAACTGAATATAATGCAGGAGGTATAACATACAAATGGGAGAGGTTCTGCTCTTGAGAAGGTTAATGTTTACTAAAATATAAGGAATCTATGTATATTTTGAGACAGAATTTTGCTCAGTCCTTGTGTTTGAGTCTTAATTTAGTTAACTTTTATACTTATATCATAAGTCCATTTTTTCCTTAGCATGACTTTATTCATCTTCATTATTGTGTCAAACAGGCAAAATTTTGAGTCCCTGTGTGTCATTCCTATTATCCTAGTTACTAAGGAGGATAAGATTTGAGGGTCACAGTTAGAAGCCATCCCTGCAATGAAAAGTCTATGAAACTCTTATCTACAATTAATCACCTAAAAATCCAAAGTGTAGCTGTGGTTCAAATGGTACGCTGCTAGACTTGAGGAAAAATACTCAAGGATAGCACCGAAGCACTGAGTTCAATCCCTAGGACTGGCACCAAAAAATGTACAAAACTTGTGTATATGCAATGGAAATTGGGTCTAAAAAATATATTGGTTGGAGCTTGGAAGGTGGCTCAGTGGTAGAGCACTTACCTTGCATGCCTGAGGCCCTGGGTTCGATTCCTCAGCACCACATAAGCAGGAAAAAAAAGCCGGAAGCGGTGCTATGGCTCAAGTGGTAGAGCGCTAGCCTTGAGCTGAAGAGCTGAGGGACAGCGCCCAGGCCCAGAGTTCAGGCCCCAGGACTGGACCCCCCCCCAAAAAATTATATATATTGGTTGTAGTTTTTGTGAAATCTATTGAATTATTTGCAAGTATAGGGGTTTGAACTCAGGGCATTGTAATAACCATTTGAGGTACACACACCAGCCCTTTTAACTTTATTTTACAGATAGGATCTTGTACTTCTTTACCTTGTGGACCTTGGACTATAATGCTCCTACCTATGGACTATAATGCTCCTACTATGCCTGGTCCTCTTTAGGTTTATTACCATTCATATTTTGATAAGACAAGAGTTTCAATGATGATTACATTGAATAGGCATTAAATGTGGGTTTCTTTATGCAATAAGAATGTGGTAATGTCTTTATTCTCCCATGATCTTTATACTCAGCATTTTCTGTGGATTTCTAGGGTATTTTGGTAGTAGATCAATATTCACCAGCTGGATAGAAGTAAAGTGAAAAAATTCAAATTATATAAACAAAAATATGCCTAACTCTTTGGGGAAATAACCCACTTTTTATGTTTTTTTTGTTTTTACTGAATCTGTCAATGCACTTTTTTAAATGTAGTGTAGATCAGCTAAAGAAATGAGAGTTGCTTGATGTGATTTGATAGACAAGTACATTGTAACACAAATAAACCCTCTACATAATATAAAACCCTGGTCAGCGTCTCACAGCACTTGAAGGAATGAATTATAAAACAAAGGATGCCAGTCAACTAAAATGCTGCAAGGGACCACAATAAAAAACAAATAGACATTTCAGCAGAGTTTTTGTTTTATTTACTTATATCACTTAGGTACACTCAAGTGCCTTTACGAGTTATGGGCTTTTTCATAATTGTATCTGTAGCTGGGGATGTAGCTCTATGCTTCCTATTATTTCTAAACTTGGTTATTCAAGATATTCCCTTACAAGTTAGAAGCCCTGATGGAGCTATTGTCTATGATAATTGTCTCTGATCATAAAAATACACACTTGTGTCTGTGAAAATTCTCTTCCTATGGTTTCTATATACTAATTGCTTCATTATAAGAGATTTTTGACTGATTGTTGATTCATGTTAGAGGCTTTTACTGATTGGTGGTTCATTGTTAAGAAAGGTACCTTTGGGGCTTTACCGCTTCTATTGCCTCGTTTGATTTCATATTATTACCATTTGGGTTAGTAAATATAGGTCATAATTTAAAAGTGGCAAAAATGATAGTCAACATAATATTTACAGTATTTCCAGTTGATAATGAGTTTTGTTTGTTACCGAGTGCTGTAAGCACATATTTCTTAATTGTGAATGAGAGGAACTTGCTGTCAAGTTTGAGAAAATTAGGGACCATATTTTATTGCTAGAAAGCATTTCTGAGAATAAATTAAGGACAACTGTAGGTATTGTTTTATAGTGTTCACATTGTGTCAATGGCTGCTTTAGGAGATTTGCAAATAGGCTGCCATACAGTATTTGAGACAGCATCTTACTATGTTGTCCAAGCGAGATTGTGCTGCCTCAGCTTCCCAAGGAAATGGGATTACATACATGTCCCATCAAACCTGGTTTTCATATCTTACATAAATCTGAACGGAAATTGCATTTTCCTGATTAGAACTAATAATTCAGAAATATTATGTAACTTGCAGAATGACATAAGCTAGAAAGTTATATGACATATAACTGTATGTTTTAAGCACATGTATGTGTAATTCAAATGTCCATGTTTTTTTCAAAACAACTTTATCATTTTAGTCTGCAGTATACAGAGATTATCTTTTCCCCTTCTGGGAATGGAAGACATAACTTTCTTGAACTCTACCCTTAAAATAAAATATGTGGCTGGATGCTGGAGGCTCATTCCTGTAATCTTACCTATTTAGGAGGGTGAGGATTGTGGTTCAAAGCCAGTTTAGGCAGAAAAGTCCATGAGACACTTATTTCCAGTTAACAATCAAAAGGCTGGAAATAAAGCTGTATCTCAAGTGGTAGAGCATCAGTCTTGAGCAAAGGAAAGAAAAGCTCAGGGGACAGTTCCCATACGCTGAATTCAATCCCCAGGACTAGTACAAAAAGGAAACTTCCAAGGGCCTCTGAATATGGATTAAGGTAGCTCTTAAAGTGGTGTCAGTCATTGCAAATGACTTTGTATAAGGTATATCCTCCTTCTTGATGTTGTCCTATTACTCAACTATACATATTCTTAATCCAGCATTTTGATCCCTATACATATAATGGATATATTTATTGAATCATTTCATAATCATTCATTTTTAATCATATATCATTTTTCACATATGAAACCTTGCAGTAGGGAATGAGTAATGAAAAAATAAAACTTTTTCCCGAAAAATGGCAACCCCAACTCCCTTATCATGCACAAATTCTTCATAAAATTAATCTGATGGGTTAGAGATTAATAATCATAATTAAAAACATTATTTAGGGGAAAGCAAAATATTACCATCAATTCTTAATTTTGTTTAGGAGATAATCTGTCTCTCACGTGTGTGTGTATGTATGTGTGTGTGTATACAAACCAAGGATTGGTATTAAATAACATGTTATTATGGGTCATAATTTGAATATTATGCCAAGTTTTAGAGTCTTTGTTATGGGAAACTAGTAATTAATAATTAAGATGTCTAATGATTTCTTTTCGTTATGTGCCTATATGTGTCTGTTCTCCAAAATCTCTCTGCTGCAATTAGTTTTGAGCTATAGGAAATCAAAAACTAAAAATAAGGTTATTCCAAGGTGCTTGGCTAGTATTGAGCTGAGCTACAACTTCTGGAAGGAAAGGACATGTGAGGGGAATAAGTGGGAGAAAATTTGGGAGGGAGTTAAAAAATGTACTCATTATCTGACTTACATAACTGTAACTCCTTTGTATATTACCTGTAAAATTTTAAATTAAATTTAAAAAAAACAAAATTATTATTGAAAGTATAACAAAGGGAATGTACAACATATGCCCATTCTCTGAAATAAATCATTAAAACCCAAGATAAACTGTTTTGAAGAAAACCAGCACAAAATTCTTGCATATTGTACTTGAATGTAAGTTCCAGTAATTTCTCCATGGCTTATCTAAAATCAACATCTGTGATGTAGGTGAAATTCTCTAGAACGTACATAAATATTTAATATATTTTATGAATAGAAATCATAGGTTTCAAAATTGTTAAATGCACAGAGTTTTTTGTGTAATTTCACAGAGCATAGTGTTAGATAATATTTTCGAAATTTTTGACATATTTTCTGGCATCAAGTACACGGGTTAACTGTGGTTCAACTCACTCAAATCAATTTCCTATGTGTAAATTTCCCTAGTTCACCTCAGAGACAGATTGTGGGACTTGCTTTCTTTTAACAGCTAATGATTATGCAGTTAAACATATGACAACTGTTCAGTTTTGGTAAACATATTGTTAATTTTATAAGACTGAATTAATTTCTTTTTAAACAAACCTGAATAGCCAACAGTTTTGGAATATTGCCAAAAAATTTCTTGGGTATTTTGAAAATTAGCAAAGCATATTATTTGCATAACCCAGAGAATATTCACTTCATATAGGAATTTATCATTGTCTATGAAATTATCCCCATTAGAACAGTGGCTTTAAATGTCTGTTCTCAGAGAGCATTCCTTATCTTGCAGATAAGCTCAGTGAAAATGCTGCCATCTCGCCTCAAAAGCATTCTTTTCAAGCTCACTTTTGAAGAACATGTCAACAACATCAAACCCAGCATCATAGCAGTAACTCTTGCTTGTGAAGAACTGAAGAAAAGTGAAAGCTTTAACAAACTTTTGGAGTTAGTTCTGTTGATTGGAAACTACATGAACTCAGGCTCAAGAAATGCCCAGTCTTTGGGTTTTAAGATCAACTTTCTTTGTAAGGTAAGATTCTATTTTATTATGCTAATTGATAACCATAATCTTATCTGTGAGAAGAGTTAATCAAAAAGAAATAATAACCCATTAAACCATATGCTTTCAATGAGCAACTTTTATGGTATGTAAGTTATATCTCAATGAAAAGAAATTCCTTTTTAAAATGGTATTGCAGTCAAATCCATAAAGGTTGTATGAATTTACTTCTGTAGTACTTACTTTTTGCTGATTAAATCTTAGTGCAGCTTATAAATTGCACCAAAATTCTTTTATAAAATATAAGAAACAATGTATTTTAATCCCTTTCCCTTATTTTATATTATTCCAAAAAGTATTTGGGGAGCTAAATTTGATGAGGAAAATAGGCAGAAAATTTTCTCATGGTACTCTAGGAAAATAATTTTTCTCCTTACTATATTTGGTTGTGAAATAAGCTTAAATCCGTTTTTAAGTGATATTTACTAATAGTTTTTAAATAATCAAACAATAATAGTCATTCTGTTTTGATTGTACCATTTTACAGAATAATTTTTAAGGTTTTAACTCTTGTGAAAGGGTTAGAAAGAAAAGCAGTTGTACATGTCTATATCCTTGAAAAGATTTTTCTGTTAGAGTGAAAAAAACTGAACAAATTAGGTTAAGTCCTCTAAGAAATCTTTGAGATGAGAATAAATCTGAAAACAAGCAATTTGTCTATGACATTTCACCACTTTCCCCCATTTCCTCTCACATCTCAAAACACCACAGAATTTTAGTTAGTTCTTGAAGTACATTATCACAGAATTCCAAATCTAGAAATAACTGTGAATTTCTTACTTTTTGCATACTAAATATATGTACATTGCATATCCATTGACTAGCATTTTAATATGAATAAAGACAATTTGTTCCTGGTAAACATAACCCTAAGAGATATACAGAATAACATTTATAGATAATGAAGTACTCCTGGGCATCATTAGCTTACACCCTAACTACTTCAAAAGCTGAGATCTAAGGATCTTGCAGTTTGAAGCCAATCCTGTCAGGAAAGTCACTGAGACTCTGTTGCCAATATGCTACCCCCAAATCCTGAAACTAAAACTGTGACTCAAGTGGTAGAACACGAGCTTTAAGCAAAATAAAGCTCAAGGACAGTGTGCAGGCCCTGAGTCCTAGGACTGATGTAGGCACGTGCACACACACACACACAAACACCACCCTCCTGAAATATGTAGTGGAATTATGTGTATCTTTGAAGAACAAAAGGAAAGAGAACAAATGCCAGATATTGCAAAATAAATAATTTCATCTTGCTAGAGTTTACATTTATGTTATTTGATAAGCTTGATAAATCATAGCCAAATTTATATGATAAGATGGCCCATTTAGGATTTTATATAGTAACTAACACAAGCTATATAACCAATACTAATAAAGTTATCCTTTACTAAGATGCTAATAGCTTAGCATTTATGCTATATGCAACATATATGAATCTAAAATGCCTTTTATAGATATTTCTACAATATTATACCTAAAGAACATCACTACCAATTTATAATAGATATCTATTTCACATTTAATTCATACAAAAAAATAAAAAAACTATCCTAATTTGAATTTCCGTGTTAAGTGCTTTAATTTCACTGTGTTCAAATTAATTATAAGAATTGCTTTTTTGAAACAAGAATGATTAAGACATTTAGACACAGGAACATGTGATTATATTAAATTCACAGAAAAATTTTACTGTTATATCTTACATTTTGGAGAGAGGCTTCTTCTTGTCATCTACCTGTCAAATAAAAGTTCTTCCATACAGTGCTGGTCTGACATCTATCACTAGAGGTATACTCAAAGGATTCAGCACAAAGATTTTTGCCAACTTCAAATAAAATAAAATATCATCTTTCGGGAAATACTATCATGTAGTTATAGGTGTTCTAGAATGTAAAGAAGTGAAGGTTTTCAAATCCCCCTCCTCAGCATACACACATTTCAATAGGTTCTTTATCTGCTGGGAAATACTTATAAGGAAACACTTGTGATTAGTAATGAGAAATATCATATACATGCATGATATTCCCATAATGTCTGAGATTAAAAGAATGTTCCTACAATACAAAGGATTCTGACTAGATGTAACTGTCTAAAAATGATGTAAATTTACTGAAGAACATAGAAATAGTGAAGTTAGGTCCGTAATCTCTTCAAAAGAAGTTAACTATTGATATATGGTAATTCAAAATTACTGATAAAATTTCACGTATAATAGATGGAATGAATTTTAGTGAATTTTTTCCTTAAAACTTGTAGGGGGAATTTCTCTGTAGAATACTGATTATGCTTCAAAATGATTCCATTTTTTCATTTTTTCTAATCATTTCCTTATTTTGGTGATTTGAAATTGTAATCTACTGCTTTTCACAAGAGCCAGGAAGTACATTAAATTATTCATAGAGTGAACCAGGAAATAAGCATTCAAACTTATCATATGAATTTACAGTAAGGTAATATAAAACAATTCAGATGGTCACAATTGGCTGCTATGATTTTTGGAAAACAAGGAAAACAGATGGGTTAATCAAAATGTCAAATACTACTAAAGGGTATCATTATTGTAAGTACTATCCACACCAGAAAATGCTTTGTTAATTTCAGCAGTGAATAATCACTTTGTGAGTCACCAAACCAGTATGCTGAACTGTAGTAAAAATCACTTCAATAAAGATGGGTTCTCAGAGTTGGCTGGGTTGTACTAGCCTGTTAGTTATTAGAATTCTAACCAGTAGCCATTTTTCACTTGAGGGACATTTGTTATTTTTGTTTTCAGTATGTAATGGAATATCAACAAAGCATTTATGAAGCACAGGGAACTTCCCTCTGTAATCTGCTTTGTAGGTACATCAGATAAGGGTCTTTGCCTGAAAAAAGTAAAATATGACTGCATGATTAAAGCAGAAAGTAGAATTTATTGAAAGGATCTGAGATAGCTCAGCACAATACTGGCAAAAACTAGAAATGTTGGCCTTTAAAGAACAGCTGTTGTGGTAGCTTAGAGAATTAAGGTAGGAAGAATGAATTGCCGAGTCTTTTAAGGATGTTGGCTTTGGGACGTACCAATTTTATCCATTTTCTTCATCCTTGACTATCTGATTTATAGTTTAATTAGAAAGTCATTTTCTTAATATGGATTTCAAAGTGACTCATTGTCCAAGAGGAGGTCACAGAACCTTTTGACAAAATTATGACCTCAAAAACTACCATTAACAAAAATAGGGCTGGTAAAAATTAGGGACAGAGGAAAGAGTGTTATGTAGGTTGTAATAAAGACTGAACTGATTACCTGTGCACCAGTGTCATATAAACAGCACATTAAACACAAAAACCTCAAGAAGCATACTCTAGTTGAATAGCCAGGAAATAAGTGAATTATTATGTTGCATCACAATGTACATTGTTAATGAATTACAAACGTAATCACCATTGACAGTAATTCAGAAATGAGGTCCCCTGGTGCTTGGGTGCTGTTGGAAAACAACAAAACCATCTTGAAGGATGGCTAAGGTTCGGGCCTATCACGAGAAGAAGACTTGATCATACATGAGGAGAGTGCAGTGGGGATTATGAACATATCGTTTAACTTGTGCTTTTCTTTTGTGGGACAATTTATAGTAGAGAATTTTCACTTGGTGATATGTCCCATCAGTGATTGAAAAAAAAATTGTGCTACAGCAAAATTGAAAAGAATTCATTCAACATACTTTACATTTGAAAATGTCAGCTCACTACATAGTGGACACAGTATATTATATAGTGTCCATTTGTTCATAATTCATGAGCAGTGGAAGCAAACATTTCAATTTAAGGATTGTCTATGGCTCATTATAGTACATGGAAGCAAGAACATTCACTTCTGAAATAGTTATAAAAGAAGTGTAGAATGACAAGAGGACAGGATATCATTCTTAATTTTAAATGGTTCCCTTTGTCCAGCTGATGTGATGTTTGACCTTTATTTAAATCCATTGTTTTATTGTACTGTGCTTACTCAGAATTCTTTGTGAACTACTGAATATTTCCTTGAACTTCAAGATATTATACTGCCTTTCATGACATTCTGGATTCTGTTATGATGATTGTGTTGTGGGTTTAGTTTCCTATTCAGGTACATAAATACACAAAGTTCATATTTAGGAAATGGCAAACATTAATATTACTTAAGTAAAAATATACAGAAGTATTTAATTTTATAGAACATTCAATTTAGTTTTGTACGTAAATAGTTCTCAGTAAGGTCTTTTCATTTCCATATTACTCATTATGTATTCTAATGCACATGCTATTAACCTGTGCATGTGGACATTTGTGTGTGTGCATGTGTGCGTGTTTGATACTGATAATAAAAAAAGATTGCTCCAGTTATCTAATTCCTCCACCAAGCAAGGTACATGAATACCAGCTCAGAAATCCATTGTGAAGTTCTTACCTCTAATATTCTTCATGCCACTTAAAATCTGAATAAAAACTAGACCACTTTCAGAGATCATGCTTTTTATAAAGAGTGCAATTCTTTGAAAATTGGAAACAGGTGATCATGGCTCCTTGGGTTTATAATCCTCTAGATTCAGAAAATAGTTTGCTATTCAGTCTTCTGAGGTATAGAATACTTAAACTCTTGTATATTTATATGTTATATTGCTGTTTTTAATGATTGTTCAAAGTAAAAAAAAAAAGGTCTTGGGAGATGATATTTATTTGTCAACTCAAATTTTCCAAGTGGGATTTGTCTTCTAATTGTATGTTTATGTGGAAATTTGTTATACCTTTCTGATTCTTTGTAGCCCATGTTAGGAAAATGAGATGGAAAGGAAAAAAAATCCCAAAGCAAAAATGTATCAAGTTATGTAATAAAAAAGGGTCAATAATTGACAGAGTTTGTAAATAATACTTCTTTATTGCTATACTTTTGATGGAGTATGATTTCACTAAAACAAATTACTTTTTCTCATCCACCCCTTTAA